TTTTTCCAATCACAGCTCCTTTGTTGCCCCAAACAAACGGTTCTGTATCTTCAATAAGTAACCTGGTCTTCCAGAGCCCTTTAGAAGGACGGGATCGCCTTCAACCAGGCATTTGACTTTCACTGTGCAAGTGTAGGTTGGGACAAACCTCATTGGTTAAGGAAACAGAATCAAGTCTTGCTGCTAAGCAGTAGGCATGGGCAATCCATGGTTCTAAATGGTTCTAAAATACTTACAAAACCAAAGTTCTGGTGGTGAAAATTTCAGAACTCTAACAAAACTTTCAAAATTTAATTATTATTTCATTATTGGTGATTTTAATGACAGAACCAATTAGGAACTGCCATTTATTATGAAATTTTGAGAGTTTTGTTAGAGTTCTGAAATTTTCACCACCAGAACTTTAGTTTTGTAAGTACTTTAGAACCATTTAGAACCATGGATTGCCCAAGCCTACTAAGCAGTGTTTCGTCACAGTGCTAAGTGTGTTTTCTTGGGGGCAAATGGCGCTGGGATTGTTGGGTCTTACTTCTAAGGAGATGTACTTGGGTTAGTATTATTTAAGTATCTGTTCTAATGTTGTGAAATATTTGACTGAAAGGCCATTTTCCGATCAGACCACAGAATGAGAGGCAACTGTGTTTGCAGACGCCTTATTGTGTTGCAAGAGAAGGTCATGTCGATTGCAAGCAAGCTATACATTTCTGTCTTTAGCAGCATTAATTAAAGCTTTGTTTTCAGTTACCACCCAAGGCCCGTATTTATTATAATTATTTAAACAATATTGAAAATCCTATGTTTTTTCCCCTCTTTAAAAAGTAATAATTGGCCCCCATCTTTATACAATGGGCTAATCAATAAAATGTACTGAGTATTGTCGAAGGCTTTCATGGCCGGAATCACTAGGTTGTTGTAGGTTTTTTCGGGCTATATGGCCATGGTCTAGAGGCATTTTCTCCTGACGTTTCGCCTGCATCTATGGCAAGCATCCTCAGAGGTAGTGAGGTCTGTTGGAACTAGGAAAATGGGTTTATATATCTGTGGAATGACCAGGTGGGACAAAGGACTTTTGTCTGCTGGAGCTAGGTGTGACTGTTTCAACTGACCACCTTGATTAGTGGAAGTGCCTGGGGGAATTTTTTGTTGAGAGGTGATTTGGGGGAATCAGGCACATCAAATCACCTCTCAACAAAAGATTCCTCCCAGGCACTTCCAAGCCATTAAATGATAATCAAGGTGGTCAGTTGAAACATTCACACCTAGCTCCAGCAGACAAAAGTCCTTTGTCTCACCCTGGTCATTCCACAGATATATAAACCCATTTTCCTACTTCCAACAGACCTCACTACCTCTGAGGATGCTTGCCATAGATGCAGGCGAAATGTCAGGAGAAAATGCCTCTAGACCATGGCCATATAGCCCGAAAAAATCTACAAGAACCCAAAATGTACTGATATCAATGGGCAATGGCTTCTGTTGGGTTTGATTACCTTACGAAATAATCAATTTTTTACTTCTGTTTTCTAAACCAGTGAGGTTTGAGAAGGAAGGACTCCCTCTGGGACAGGAAAAACAATTTAGAAACAACAACAACAAACAAACAAAAACACCGAACACTCCTACCCCCTCCCTCCCCAAATCCCATAGAAAGTGCTATGGAACTGAATGCATTGACAAACATAACATTTTTCCAAGTTACCTTGTTTAAAATACAAAGTTTTTTTTTAAAAAAAGAATTTTTAAAAAAGAATAAAACAGTGAGGAGACACACGGCCAATTTATTACGTCAAGACTTGCTGTGTATAAATTATTCCTAAAGAAATTCCTGTGTTTATATTAAAATGAAATCAGTAGATGATGAAATGAAAAAAAAATTCAAAATGTTTTTGTATATTCTGTTGTAAGAATTTATTCCTGTTGCGATATATTCTGGATTCTTTACATTATGAAAAAAGAAGAACCTTTGTCTATTTTGAATGGCTGAAGCTAAGGCTGCTTTAGTTTCTCTTACTCTGCTTTTTTCTAGTAGTTACAGTACTACATGATTAAGTTAAATAAAAAGGATTCTGTATGCATTTGTGTCCGGCGTGTTTCCTTTGGTTTATTAGATGGAAGAGTCCCCAAAGATGGTACTATTGGGGTCACAAGACTAGCAATTCCCATCCTCTTTTTCATTATAGATTCAGCTTGCACCCAATCGGCACGTGGACAGACCTTTCCTTTATGGCGGATGGCAGTTACAATGAGTTTGGGAGCCAGGACAGGAGCCATTGTTTCCTTACACAATATGTAACTTTAACAATTAATGTAGAATATCAGCAGCTGCCTATATGGCTACAGGTGGGACTATAAAACTAAGGCGAACGCATATATAAATTCAAAAATCTTAGTGTTGTCTTTTACCACATTTTATCGCGTAATAGTTGCCATCGCATAATAATCCCACCTCGCCTTTTAGGTCTCAATTTTGGTACTTTATAATTCAGCACATAATAGTCGCACCCTGGATTTATGAAGCTCCCCACTGCAAATAGCCTAGCATGCCTATTTGCTCGCTCGCCCACTCAGATGCATGCATGCCCATCCATCCACGTGGCCACTCCCTTTCAGGAATGGCATTTCAAGTGCCATTCCTTAAAGGGAGTAGCCGAACGAATGGTAGGTGGCTAGATGAGTGGTTTCTTGGTTGGATGAGTGGGTGGATAATTGGGCAAGTGGGTGGGTGGGCGAATGGATGGATGGATGATACATTGCCAAGAGGGTGGATGGTATAATGAGCAAGTGGATTGGTAGGTTGGGAAGGTGGTTGAGCAAATGGATGGATGGATGGTTGCCATATTGGGCAAGCTGATGGATAGGGTTGGGGGTGGATGTATGGATGGTAGGTTGGGTGGGCGAGTGGGCAGATGGATGGTTGGTACATTGGGCAAACTGATGGAGGATATCTTGGGTGGATGGATGGATGGTTGGCAGGTTGGGCGGGTGGATAGATTGCTGGTACATTGGGCAAGCTGATAGATGGTAGGTTGGGCAAGTGGATGGATGTTGGGTTGGATGGGTGGGTGGGTGGATGAACGGATGGATGGGTAGTAGGTTGGATAAGCAGATGGTTGGGCAGACGAGTGAGTTTGTGAGTGGATGGATTGCTTGTTGGTTCAGTGAGCAGGTGGTTGAGTGGGTGGATGGGTGAGTGAGTGGATGGGTGAGTGAGTGGGTGGGTGGGTGGGTTGCCAAGCAGATGGATTGGCTTGTGAGTGAGTGCATGGATTTATTTATTTATTTTTGTCGTGTCAGGAGCAACTTGAGAAACTGCAAGTCACTTCTGTTGTGAGAGAATTGGCCGTCTGCAAGGATGTTGCCCAGGGGATGCCCGGATGTTTTGATGTTTTGCCATCCTTGTGGGAGGCTTCTCTCATGTCCCCGCATGGAGAGCTGGAGCTGATAGAGGGAGCTCATCCGCCTCTCCCAGAATTCGAACCTGCAACCTGTCGGTCTTCAGTCCTGTCGGCACAGGGGTTTAACCCACTGCGCCACCGGGGGCTCAGTGCATGGATGAGTGAACGGGAAAGTGGATGGTTGTTTCATTGGGTGGGTGGGTGAGTGGGTGGGCAAATGAGTGAAGTGGTGGGTGAGTCCATCTTTGACTGATGAATGCGCCCTTACTAAAAGGAGATGGCAAGCAAGTAAATCTCTTTAGGTCCTTATATATTAATTTTATTAGGAAATTTCTGTATCGCCTTTCTCCAAGGAGGACCCAAGGAGGTTTACAACAAGAGCTAAACATGCAATATAAAATTTAAGCCATTAAAATAATCTCGTACATTCCCATCAAACATAAAATGGTCATTAAAAGCAGTAAAACCATTTAAAATTCACAGGATGATAAAATAGGATTATAAAGTGCAGTTTCTCATTATTAATTGAAAGCTATTCCAGATAGGAAAGTTTTCAGATTTTTCCTAAAGGACAAGAGGAGGGTGTGGGCTGCTCTAATCATGTCATAGAATCATAGAGTTGGAAGAGACCTCATGGGCCATCCAGTCCAACCCCATTCTGCCAAGAAGCAGGAATATTGCATTCAAAGCACCCCTGACAGATGACCATCCAGCCTCTGTTTAAAAGTCTCCAAAGAAGGAGCCTCCACCACACTCCAGGGCAGAGAGTTCCACTGCTGAACGGCTCTCACAGTCAGGAAGTTCTCCCTCATGTTCAGATAGAATCTCTTTTCTTGTAGTTTGAAGCCATTGTTCTGTGTCCTAGTCTCCAGGGAAGCAGAAAACAAGCTTGCTCCCTCCTCCCTGTGACTTCCTCTCACATATTTATACATGGCTATCATGTCTCGTCTCAGCCTTCTCTTCTTTTCTGGCAGAGCATTCCAGAGTTTTGGAGAAGCGTCTGAGAAGGTGCCACCTCTAAACTGTTTTAAGTGTCGACTGTCCCCGAGTTCTAAGGTCCTGCACAGGCAAAAGTTTGGACCTTATCACAGAAGGCACCGTTGTGATAGGTTATTTGGGCAATATAATATACCAGAAGCCTCACGACTGTACTCTTGGACATCTGAGGAAGTGTTTTGTGACCATGATTGCTCATGCTAGAATATATGTGTTTTAATATATGGCTTCTTGTTCCATTGCAACAGATTAATGCATTCACTCTGCAACAACAGTTTTGTTTGTGTTTCTATGTGAGCTGTATTCAAAAGAGAGACAGAACTTCTATTGTCCACAAGGGCACACAGTCCAAAGCAACTTTTTCCTGGCCCCCAAATGCACCCAAAAAGATGATGGAAGCTGGCTATTTCCACTTTTAGAAGTGTATGTTACCTTCCCCATCTCCAGCTCTGCCCCTACTTATGGTCGGGGAGCTAGAAAGAGCCTCTTTAAGTTCTGTGGTCTTCAAATTGGTCCCTAGAACCTCTGGTGCGTGCCTATCCAAACCACATCATTTCTCATTTGGGCCAAAAGAAAAAGAAGACTGCTGAAACTCATTTATTTACTTACATGTTTTCTGATTTGCATTGCCTTAACATCTCCAAGATAATTGCCTGTAGCACATTTCCCAGAAGTTCTGCCGTCACCAACTTGGTCAGAGGAGGCACGTGGATAAATACCGCTCTTCTGTTCCCATAGTAAAGGGAAGTATAGTAGACATAATCACAGAGGTACCTTCGAGATGGGAAAGGGGTTATGGGTTAATTATATGCACTAAATATGTGACTCTACTTTGGGATTGTTGACTTGCAAGAATACATCGCATCAAAAGCAGAAGGGGACAACCTTCAGCATATAAATGATCCAGTTTCAGAATATTTACTTTTTCAGCATTTTACACTGGCAAATTGTGCATGTGGCTGCTCTCAAATCTCATTCCTTTTAATGGAAAGCAATCAGATCTGTAAGGGTAAAAAGGTAAAGGTTTTCCCTTGACATTAAGTCCAGTCGTGCCCGACTCTGATGGTTATCTCCATTTCTAAGCCGAAGAGTTGGCATTGTCCATAGACACTTCCAAGGTCTTGTGGCCACTGGCATGACTGCATGGAGCGCCGTTACCTTCCCACTGAAGCACTACCTATCGATCTATTCACATTTGCATATTTTTGAACTGCTAGGTTGGCAGAAGCTGAGGCTAATAGCGGGAGCTCGCTCCCCGGGTTCAAACCGCCAACCTTTTGGTCAGCAAGTTCAGCAGCTCAGTGGTTTAACCCACTGCACTACCGAGGCTCCATCAGATCTGTATCCGCTTTAAATATCAGTGTGCTATCACGCGCTGGGCCTGTGAAAGTCTGTAGACATGACGTGTTTTCTGAATGCCCAACGGGACGCTGGGGGTGCCTCGGCTGAGAGGCCTTTTGGATTTCCCCACACAAAGTTCTTTTAAAGACTTAGAAAGTTCAACAAAGTTTTTATTGTTGCTTAAATCTTCAATAAATCAAACAAATACTTCAAGGCTTTGAATCAACTGGTGGCTTGCTTAAATCTTGTCCACAAGGGACAGGCAACTTTCTTCATAAACTGTTTCTTCCTTCTACAAGGGAAATCCTTGACCCCTCCTTGGGCAATCTAACTTAAGCTCTGCTGGCGTGGGACCCTACACCCGGTCCAAATTGCATTATGGCTGCCGCGAGTGGTCCTTACCAAACAGAGTCCTTTAGTAGATTTCCAAGAGGAAAGAAGGCTTTCAATTCCCAGCGAAGGCTGGCTGTAAAACCGTGGAGCTGTATTTCTCCAACAAAGGCTATGCTGTAGTTCTCTGTAGAGCTGTGGGACTGGATCCCCCCAGCAAAGCTGTAAAAGACGAAGCTTTCTACAGGTGGAACTGATTCACGTCCTGTACGAAAGGCTTCTCAGTGTGAACTGAACTAGAGGTCCCCTTTTTCCCTTCTTAACCCAGAAAAAGGGGCGGAACTAAACAACATAATGATAATTGATGGGTCATTGGACCTATTATTGCAAACCAAGGGAAGCCACCTTATTGCAAAATGCATGGAACTTTGGAATACATGCGAACACTCAATAGAAAGGAAAAGAAGTTGGAGCTCCTGTACAGCCATACCAGCACAATCAGAGTCAAATTTGACTTTAAATATTAGAACCAGCCTCATGATAACATTATTAGAAGCATCATAATATGTTCAGTTAATCAAGACAAAGGGGAAAAAAGGTTTCCAACTTTTAAGAACATTTTGTTTTGGTCTGAATGTCTTCACAGAAAGTTTCCTGATTGAATTATATTCCTCGCAACAGATAGCTTCGCAATGAATTTAAGTCCTTACCTTCCTGCATCTCTGGAAAAGGTGATATCCACACCTTCCACCCGAAGGCTTTTCCAGACTTGCTTCGTGTTAATTATAGACTCGATTTTCTCTGGACCCTCTAAGAGGCAGCAGTTGTCTTCTGGACAAAACCCACAAACATCCTTGTCTTTGTAGCCTTTGTTCTTCCCACACTGTTCCAGAATTAGGGTTCTCTTTGAGGCAGAAGCCAGCCCAAGGTGAATCATAAGCTGTAGGTTGATCCATAAGATAATACTTAATGAGGCTGCCTATTGAATGGATGGTGAACCTTTGGTCCTCTAAAAGGTGTGGACTACAATTCCCAATGCTGGGTAAGACACATTATAGTTGCATGCCAAACTGATGAGAGAAGGAGGAGACAAAATTGATGAGAGAAGGAGGAGATCAGCCTCGTAAAGGCTGATCTGGCCGGGGTGGTCCATGCCTTGGTCACCTCTAGATTGGACTACTGTAATGCGCTTTACGTGGGGCTGCCCTTGAAAACGGCTCGGAAATTTCAGCTAGTTCAAAGGGCAGCGGCCAGGATGTTAACTGGTGCTCCTTACAGAGAGAGGTCAACCCTCCTGTTTAAGGAGCTCCACTGGCTGCCGTTAATTTTCCGGTCCCAATTCAAGGTGCAGGTGCTCACCTACAAAGCCCTAAATAGTTTGGGACCTGCCTACCTGTGTGACCGCATCTCCTTCTATGAACCCGCACGCTCCCTTTGTTCATCCGGAGAGACCCTGCTCACGATCCCACCTGCGTCACAAGCGCGGTTGGTGGAGATGAGGGACAGGGCCTTCTCTGTGGTAGCCCCCCGACTCTGGAACACCCTCCCCAAGGACATCAGACAAGCCCCTACATTGGCAGTCTTCAGGAAGAGCTTGAAGACCTGGCTACTCCGGTGTGCCTTTCCAGACTAGGAAACTTCAGCAACACGTCCCAGAAGCACTTTATTAGAGATTTAAGTTTGTCCGCACATGGCACTTACCCAAAAATCCTTATATTTCACTTGGCACATTCAGCACTTTTAATCTGTACCCATTACACTTGGCCCGGCCTAGTTTTACTGTGTTATGGTGTATTGTTTTTACTGTTTACTGTTATTGCTTTAATATTTCTTGATTTGCTTTATGGTTTATGTGTATTGTTATACTGTTGTTTTTATTGAAGCCTCGGCCTGTGTAAGCCGCATCGAGTCCTTCGGGAGATGTTAGCGGGGTACAAATAAAGTTAATAATAATAATAATTTATTTATTTATTTATTTACCTTACTTATATACCGCTGTTCTCAGCCCGAAGGCAACTCACAGCGGTTCACAACAAATACGAACAGCAAAAATTCAGTGCTACAGTATAAAAACAGTTAACAACCTAACACATTACACAATTAATAAACAGTTACTACAATACCCATTCACTGTCGTCTCGTCATCAAAAACATGTTCCAGATTCGTCATCCATTGTTCCATTCCAGTGTTCATTAACCAATCATTGCACTAATTATTCGAACGCCTGCTCAAACAGCCAGGTCTTCACTTTTTTGCGGAATACCATTAGAGATGGTGCTAGTCTAATGTCCGTAGGAAGGGCGTTCCACAGCCGAGGAGCCACCACCGAGAAGGCCCTATCTCTCGTCCCTGCCAGCCGAGCTTGAGAAGCAGGCGGGATCAAGAGCAGGGTCTCCCCGGAATATCTCAAAGTCCTGGTGGGTTCATAGGCGGAGATGCGGTCGGATAGGTAGCTTGGGCCGGAACCGTTTAGGGCTTTAAAGGCCAACGCCAGCACTTTGAATTCAGCCCGGTAACAGATCGGTAGCCAGTGGAGTTGGTGCAACAGGGGGGTTGTATGCTCCCTGCGCTCCGCTCCTGTTAAAATCATGGCTGCCGAGCGTTGGACTAGTTGGAGCTTCCAAGCTGTCTTCAAAGGCAACCCCACGTAGAGAGCGTTGCAGTAGTCTAAACGGGATGTAACCAGAGCGTGGACTACCGTGGCCAAGTCAGACTTCCCAAGGTACGGGCGCAGCTGGCGCACAATAATAATAATAATAGTGTCCCCATTCCTAATACAATGCAGTCCCAGTATAAATATGCATGTAAAATCCCTTGCCTGTGGATGCGTATTTCCATTGCGTAGGGCAGAAATGGGACTTTCTTCTCTCGATGCAACACTGAATTGTCTGTTGATGTATATACAAAATAAGCAAGGCGAACTCTGAAGACCCATTCTTTTTTCACTAATTTCACACAATGACTGTTTGCTTGTTCATCTTAACATATAAAACTGTTTTTTAAAAGGATCCACACACAAAGAATTCCTCCCATACATTGAATCACATTTCTGCAGATCCTGTTGCCATGGACACACAAGCATGACGGTTTGTGTGTATGCATATCTCTATATATGTTGGTGTGTGTACGAGGGAAAACATCATAGAATCATAGAGTTGGGAGAGACTGCATGGGCCACCCAGTCCAACCCATTTCGTCAGGCAAGAAAGGCACAATCAAAGCACACACGACAGATGGCCATCCCCTTTGTTTAAAAGCCTCCAAGGAAGGAGGTTCGAGGCAGAGAGTTCCACTATTGAGCATCTCTTCTTAGGGTCAGGAAGTTCTCTCTAATGTTCAGGTGGAATATCCTGTCCTGTGGAGTCTCCGGTGGCGCAGTGGGTTAAACCCCTGTGCTGGCAGGACTGAAGACCGACAGGTCGCAGGTTCGAATCCGGGGAGAGGTGGATGAGCTCCCTCTATCAACTCCAGCTCCTCATGCGGGGACATGAGAGAAGCCTCCCACAAGGATGATAAAAACATCCATTCATCCGGGCAATGTCCCCTGGGCAACATCCTTGCAGACGGCCAATTCTCTCACAACAGAAGCGACTTGCAGTTTCTCAAGTCGCTCCTGACACGACAAAAAATCCTGTCCTGTCATTTGAACTCGTTGATCCAAGTCCTAGTCTCTGAATCAAGCAATGGGAAAGGATGTGCCCCTGCTTTAAATGTGCAGGACCATTCAGGACAATGCTAAATTCTTTGTCTTAATTTAGCATGTGCTAAATTAATTAATCTTAAATTAAGGGTAGGCTTGCATGATTCAGAATGAGCAAAATGTCCTCTAGTGTAAAATTTCCCTCACTCTTAGTGTTTGCTAATGAATTCTATTTGATATCTATATAAATAAAAATGTAATATTCGTTTGTGGGATTAACTTAACTCAAAAACCACTGGGCAAACTGACACCAAATTTGGACACAAGACACCTACTAACCCAAGGAGTGACCATCACTAAAAAAAATTTGATTTTGTCATTTGGGAGTTGTAGTTGCTGGGATTTATAGTTTACTTACAATCAAAAAGCATTCTGAACTCCACCAATGATGGAATTGAACCAAACGTGGCACACAGGACTCCCATGACCAACAGAAAACACTAGAAGGGTTGGTGGGCATTGACCTTGAATTTGGGAGTTGTAGTTCACCTACATCCAGAGAGTACTGTGGATTCAAACAATGATGGATCTGGAACAAACTTGGTATGAATATTCCATATGCCCAAATATGAACACAGATGGAGTTTGGGGGAAATAGACCTTGACATTTGGGAGTTGGGGTTACTGGGATTTATAGTTCACCTACAATCAAGGAGCATTCCGAACCCCACCAACAATGGAATTGGACCAAACATCCCACACAGAACCCCCATGACCAACAGAAAATACTGTGTTTTCTGGTGGTCTTTGGTGACCCTTCTGATAAACCCTTAGTGACACCCCCCCCCCCCTTTCTGGGTCTTGACTTCCCAGGTTGAGAAATGCTGCCTTAAGGCCATCCAGTCCAACTCCCTTCACCAGGGCAAGAAAACATAATCAAAGCCGTCCTGACAAAGGGCCGTCCAGCCATTCACACACACACAGATATATATGACAGATGCAGTATCATAGATTTGAAAGGAACCCCTAAAGAAGGACAATTATATGTTGCGTGTTCCAGAGTAGGCAAACCAGACAATCTCCACATCAACACTGGCAAAGAAACGGCAAGAAATGCTGTTTACTCACAAGCATCAAGACATTGAATAGATTAGAAACCAACACTTCTTATTACTTTATTTTCCAGACCACCAGACTGGGCCACAGCAACGTGTGACAGGGGAAAGCTAGTCTTTGAATTAAAAGCCGATTTTACGAATAAGCACACACAAGCAAAATCATCTCCTCCTTACCACCAGGTCCAAGGAGTGAATGGCCCAGATTTAAGCCAAACAAGTGTAGTTAGCCTTGGTTAGACATCTCTCTTCATAAGTCCCTTAATGATATAAGTACTATAAACTATACAACTTGAAACATCGTCACTTAATTAAATCCTGTCCTTTGCCCAGCCACTTACCTGGGGATTAAGAGTTGCCCATGCTTTACAAACCATTTCTTTTGCCTTTTGGTAGACCACTGGCAATTCTATGATATGTAGATCGACATCGTTGCCAAGACCAAGTTTCAATAGCTCCTGTAGTAAGAAAGAATTAGAAGAAATGCATACCTCCGTTATGAAAATCTCTGTTTGCAAGATCTTCTTATGTCCACCCAGTCCCCCTTTTTCTACTTATCTATTGTTTAGTTTGGAAGCTTTTTAGGGCAATGTCAGCATTGGAAAGATGGTGAAATAGAGGCTGGAAAAAGACAATACTGAGCTTATTGTCGAAGGCTTTCATGGCTGGAATCACTAGGTTCTTGTGGGTCTTTTCGGGCTATAGGGCCATGTTCTAGAGGCATTTCTCCTGACGTTTCGCCTGCATCTATGGCAAGCATCCTCAGAGGTAGTGAGGTCCGTTGGAAATTAGGACAATGGGTTTATATATCTGTGGAATGGCTGGGGTGGGGCAAAGAGCTCTTCCCTGCTGGAGCTAGGTGTGAATGTTTCAACTGACCACCTTCATTAGCATTTGAAGGCCTGGCTGAGCCTGGGAAAATCTTTTGTTGAGAGGTGTTAAGATGTGCCTGGTTGTTTCCTCTCTGCTGTTTTGCTGTTGTCATTTTAGAGTGTTTTAATACTGGTAGCCAGATTTTGTTCATTTTCATGGTCTCTTCCTTTCTATTGAAATTGTCCACATGCTTGTGGATTTCAATGGCTTCTCTGTGTAGTCTGACATGTAGTCTAATTTCCAACAGACCTCACTACCTCTGAGGATGCTTCGGCTCGTGCGCCAGCTGCGCCCGTATCTTGGGAAGTCGGACTTGGCCACGGTAGTCCACGCTCTTTTCACATCCCGCATAGATTACTGCAACGCGCTCTACGTGGGGTTGCCCTTGAAGACTGCCCAGAAGCTTCAGATGGTCCAGCGCTCGGCAGCCAGGTTGCTAACGGGAGCGGCACTCAGGGAGCACACCACTCCTCTGTTGAGCCAGCTCCACTGGCTGCCAATTTGCTACCGGGCACAATTCAAGGTGCTGGCTTTAGCCTATAAAGCCCTACACGGTTCCGGCCCCACTTACCTCTCCGAACGCATCTCCACCTATGAACCGGCAAGGACGTTAAGATCGTCCGGGGAGGCCCTGCTCTCGGTCCCGCCAGCATCACAAGTGCGGTTGGCGGGGACGAGAGACAGGGCCTTCTCGGTGGTGGCCCCTCGGCTATGGAATGCCCTACCAGCGGACATCAGGCAGGCCCCTTCGTTACTGGCGTTTCGGAGGAGGGTGAAGACGTGGCTCTTTGAACAGGCGTTCAGTTAATCATGCAATTACAACTAACTCAGGAAGACGGCATAATGAACAAGGAACGGTAAAACGACTGTGAGAACGGGATCTGATTCTAATTGAGGCGTTGATGACTATATGTGTGTCGTCTGTGTATGTCTGGTTTATATATTGTCAGTGTTGTATATTTTACTGTAAACCGCATTGAGTCGCCGTAAGGCTGATAAATGCGGTATACAAAAGGAGTAAATAAATAAATAATAAATAAATTGCCATAGATGCAGGCGAAACGTCAGGAGAAATGCCTCTAGAACATGGCCCTATAGCCCGAAAAGACCCACAAGAACCTAATACTGAGCTTCTGCAGCATGTCTGCTGTAAACATAAACAATGCAATCATGGCTGGAGATGGGAAAGAATAGGATTCGACTCTAGTTACTGCAGAGAAAACGCAGAATATAAATAAAGCAAAACACTTGGTCAAACATTCTTTTTCTGTGAGCTATTTTTTTACGTTGTCATTTGGAATGTAAAACCTTGATAATTATGTTGTCATTTGGAACATAAACCCTTCTATGTAATTTCTACCTGTACTTTCAAATTTTCTGCTAAGTACATCGTGCCCTTGAACTTTATGATGTGGTACATTTGTACCACAATTACTACAGAAAAAATGTTTAGAATGTAGTAGCAGGCAATACAAAGACATACATACATATATATAGCAAATAGTTTTGTAGCCTAGCTTCTTAATATTCATCCATGGGTGGGGAACCTTTGGCCCTCAAGGCGATCACAGATTCCAAGATACATCAGGTTCAAAAAATAGTATTTGAGAAAGGGCCCTGAAACTGATAAGGTAAAGGTAAAGGTAGTCCCCTGACATTAAGTCCAGTCATGTCTGACTCTGGGGTGTGGTGCTCATCTCCATTTCTAAGCCGAAGAGCCAGCGTTGTCCGTAGACACCTCCAAGGTCATGTGGCCAGCATGACTGCATGGAGCGCCGTTACCTTCCCGCCGGAGCGGTACCTATTGATCTACTCACATTTGCATGTTTTCGAACTGCTAGGTTGGCAGAAGCTAGGGCTGACAGCGGAAGCTTACGCCGCTCCCCGGAATCAAACCTGCAACCTTTCGATCAACAAGCTCAGCAGCTCAGTGCTTTAACCCACTGCACCACCGGGGGCTCCAATACATATAATATTTATAATATTGTAATGTAATGCAATATAATACTTCTAATAATAATATGATATTATAATTATATATTTATATTACATGTAATATTACTAATAATATTACAGTATAATTGATATAGTGCAAAATAGCAATATTTAAATCTGATATTGTACTATGTTAATAATATATTGTATGTATATATACCTTGTAAGCCGCTCTGAGTCCCCTTCGGGGTGAGAAGGGCGGCATATAAAAGTCGTAAATAAATAAATAAATAAATAAATAAAAGCAAATTGCTTACTATCCTATACTACAGGAAGTGTGCATATTGCTTATAGAAACCTCTATTGTCAGATAATACAGTGCACTTTCCTTCAGTGTAATGAATTTATTTATTTACTTACTTACTTCATTTATATACCGCTTTTCTCAGCCCTCGGGCGACTCGAAGCAGTTAACAATAGCAAAAATTCAATGCTTGACATCATAAAAACAGTTAAAAACGATTAAAATAGTAACATAATAAACAGATTAAACATCAATATAACATCTCATTAGCGTCTCAAGCAAAATCAAGATCCAATCTCATCATCCGTTGCTCCCTATTCCTATGTTCATTACACTGCCTATTCAAATGCCTGCTCGAACAACCAGGTCTTCACTTTCCTCTGAAATGCCAATAGGGAGGGGGCCGATCTAATTTCTATAGGAAGGGCGTTCCACAGCTGAGGGGGCCACCACTGAGAAGATCCTGTCTGTAATTCTATGAATGTAGTGTTACTCCCAATTCATGTTGCTAGCTTTGGATGGCTAATCTGGATACACTTCACTGCATTTCTTTTCAGTGAAACCAACATATTTTTATCTTTTTGCACAAAGTCCTAAGACCTCCAAGTTCTGGTCAAGTCTTGTTTAGTCTGCCTGCTGTTTGTGTTCCTTAACACTGGGCCTTGTTTGGAACGAACTTCAACTGATTTTGCAAGCTGGAAGTTCTCTGGCTTTCGCTGCTTAGCAAGCAAGGTGGCAGATGAGGCATTGGAAAGATTTCCTTGGTGCTGCCACTTTATGAATGGGACCAATTTGTTCTTGAAGGTTGGCTTCCTGAGCAAACTGTTACAATTTCCTTGTCAGCGGAAACATTGATTAGCTGTGCTCAATAAACTGTTTGACACAAACAAGCAAACAATTCTTGCAGGCGAAGTAAACACATGAGGATAACACAGCCAGCTGTGTTTTTCCTGTGCCGCGAATGGTCTTGGAGAGGCTATTGCATCATTGCACCGAAGAATGCAGAGTTGTGTGACCATTTTCCCAAACATTCACACTATGTCAGCAAACAATTAGCATTTTATTTTCTCTCACATATCTTAATTTCTCTATTTAGTGAAACACTCTTCTGTGAGGCCATGGTCAAATGACCAATGGTGACCTCACTGGCAAGTCCAAAAATGGTATGCAGGAAAGCAACCGATGTTTGTGCCGGGATACTAATAGGGAAGCCCATTCATTTCTTAGGGAAAGCAAGGTTGCATTCTTGCATCTCCTGAAGTGGTTGGTATGTTAAAAGTCTAACACAAAACCTCTGTATCAAGAGCTTGGAATTACTATGTTGCTTTACTGACCACACAATGTATTCCCTTTTCTGAACACTTTCTTGATGAATACTCCTGAACTTAATACTATAACAGAGGTTCTCAACCTGGGGGTTGCGACCCCCAGAGGGGTCGATTGGCCATTTCCGAGGGGTTGCGATGCCACCACCGTCTCCTTGCAATGGCTGCCAGGGCCCCGGGGGCAACACAGGAGGGCCCAGGCCCGGCGGGGAGGCGAATCTGGTGACGAGGAGGAGGAAGGAGGGCAAATCTTACTGCTGCTGGCCTGCGCCGTTCTCTTCCCACCTGCCGTCCTCCTCCCCTGGGCTCTTCTTCCTCCTCCCCTCTGTTCTCCTCCAGCGGAGCCTTCAAATGGGTAAGAGGAGTTCAGGAAAAATTTTCAGGATGCTCTTTGATGGCAGGTGAACTATAACTCCAATCCTATTTTCCCTACTTCCCCCAAACCTCTCCAGTATTTTCTGTTAGTCGTGGGAGTTCTCTATGCCAAATTTGGTTCAATTCTATTGTTGTTGGTGTTCGGAATGTTCTTTGATGGTAGGTGAACTATAACTCCAAACGACTGCAACTCCCAAATGTCAGGGTCTATTTTTCCCAGAGTCCACTAGTGTTCAAATTTGGGCATATATGAGTATTCCTGCCAAGTTTGGTCCAGGTCCATAGTTATTTGGATTTGCTCTCCGGATGTAGATGAACTACATTCCCCCTAAATCACTGTCAATTCATCCCAAACCCCTCCTGTATTTTCTGTTGGTCATGGGGGTTTTCTGTTCCAAGTTTGGTCCAGGTCTATAATTTGTGGGGGTCTTAGTGGTATGTGGAAGTCAGATCTGAATCGGTTATTGCAAATCCCATCATCTGTTGTCCATACTCCCCCAAGCATATTGTTTTTGTGATGAATTTATTTATTTATTTATTTATTTGATACACTTGTATACCGCTAATATCTCAGCCTAGAACGGCGACTCATTGCGGTTTACAGCAGTTAAAACAATCTACAATTTAAAAACATATACACATATAATAACAAATTCAATAACAAATTATTGGGCCACCAATAATAATCCCATATATCTTGAGTTGAAATCGCAATCCAGAATTCGTTGTCCATGTTTCCTGTCCTAATTATTATAATTTGTAACAATAAAAATGCATCCTGCATATCAGATATTTACATTACAATTCATAACAGTAGTAAAAGTAGCAACAAAAATAATTTTATGTTTGGGGGTCACTACAACATGAGGAACTGCATTTAGGGGTCACGGCATTAGAAAGGTTGAGAACCACTGCACTATCACATATCTTTGTGTATAATTATGAAACTCTGAACTGATTGTTTGATAAATAATAATGACATTGCAACTTTTTCTACAGCAGAAAGAGCTTTCTTACCTTTGCAGCTTCCCAACTAGAGTTAACTAAGTGTTGCCGGAAGGGACCAAAGCCTGAAAGCAAAGAAAATGTATGATTGCACCAGTTTAACATTGCAAAGCCCATGATCTATATTGCTTTTAGGCAATGAACTAACTTACGTTTTCATGAGGGAAGGGCTTTCCCAAAGCTGCATTAAAAATGAGAGATTGCGAGATTCAATTGATTAACTGTTAGGTTAACTAATTAAAAAGGCTTCTGGCCAACTCAAAAGATGGTCCTTTTGGAAGCAGAAATTTGAAATGTCCAACACAAGCAAATATTAGGAACTCTAAGTCTGAAGTGTTGTTGACCACATGAAGAACTACAGTTACAGATAAGCAAATACCCCTTTTCTTTTGTCTAGGAAAAATAATCCCCTAAGAACCACTCTTTTGGTGTGATACATGTGCCTATGACCACTATGTTGTAGTCTGGCAAGCCTCAGAGGATTTTTCTGAATGTCCAGAGGATGAGGGAGAAGATGGGTTTCAAAGTGAGGAGTCTGTGAGTGATTGGAGAGAATTGCAGGCAGTCGTTCCCGGGCAACGGGGGAAAGTGAAAGTTTCAGTTCCCTTGAGAAAAGTCTTTAGGAAGATGGGGAGTTTTCCGGGGAGAATACATTAGACCTGAGAACACAGGGAATGAAAAGCTGGCAAACTAGATATTCTCAGAGGATCCGAGCTAAGACCTTGAAGTCCAAATGTGTCAGGCATGATGTCATGGGTGTCTTAGAGGGCTTAAATTAAGTGGTTTGGTTTGGTTTCAGGCCTTTCAGAGGAAACAACGTTGCTTTGGGAGGTCAGTCTCCAGTTCATGATTCCTGTTCAGGATTCCAATTCAGGGTTCTTGTATTGTCAAGATTATCAAGATCCCTGCTTCATGTTTTATGCCTTTGTTTCTTTGGAGAATTTACCTTGGAGAAGTTCCTGTTTTCATGTTCATGGATATACTCTTGGCTTAATTCTGTGTTTTTGGGATTCCTTGGCTTTGTGTACTATCCTGGCATTTTTGGGATTACTTCTATTGAGCTCTAGCTTCTTTTGAAAATTGCATTTAATATCTGTACTGACTTTGGTGGATTTGTCCCCTTTACCCTTTTCCTATTCTTTCTTTAATAAACATTCTCATATTGGATCACTGGACTCTGGTGTAGTCCTGGGTGAAAGGGTGTTCCAGTGCTAGGGTGCAACACACTATTTGTTGGGTTGTTGTAGGTTTTTTTGGGTTATATGGCCATGTTCTAGATGCATTCTCTCCTGACGTTTCGCCTGCATCTATGGCAAGCATCCTCAGAGGTAGTGAGGTCTGTTGGATGCTTTCCACAGATGCAGGCGAAACGTCAGGAGAGAATGCCTTTAGAACATGGCCATATACCCCCCCCCCCCCAAAACCCTACAACAACCCAGTGATTCCGGCCATGAAAGCCTTCGACAATACACACTATTTGTTGCTTCTTTATAATTAACATTTGAAAAAAATCTAAAATTTATTTAACTATGTGACTGTTTCGGCTAATTTATCTTGCCTTTCTATAGTATATAAAATCGGGGAGTCCACGCTCTGGTTACATCCCGCATAGATTACTGCAACGCGCTCTGCGTGGGGTTGCCTTTGAAGACGGAAGCTTCAAATGGTCCAGCGTGCGGCAGCCAGGTTGCTAACAGGAGCGGCGCTCAGGGAGCACACAACTACTCTGCTGCGCCAGCTCCACTGGCTGCCAGTTTGCTACCGGGCCCAATTCAAAGTGCTGGCTTTGGCCTATAAAGCCCTAAACGGTTCTGGCCCAGCCTACCTATCCGAACGCATCTCTTCCTACGAACCCTCCAGGAAGTTAAGATCATCTGAGGAGGCCCTGCTCTCGATCCCGTCTGCTTCGCAAGCATGCTTGGCGGGGACGAGAGACAGGGCTTTCTCTGTAGTGGCCCCTCGGCTGTGGAACTCCCTGCCTAGGGATATTAGATCAGCCCCCTCCCTCCTGACCTTTCATAAGAGAGTGAAAACCTGGCTCTTCGAGCAGGCATTCGGAACCCCGGAATAATCAAGCCTGAGATGAAGAATGACCCAGGAACGGCCAAGACGATGAGACGGATGAGGATTGGATTGAGAGGATATAGCTCTTTTTAAATTGTCTTTTTTGTCTAAATGCACTTAATTGTTTTTGCTTTTTTGTTTTTGTATTGTATTGATGGCATCGAATTGTGCCGATATGTAGACCGCCCTGAGTCTCCTGCGGGCTGATATGGGAGGGATATAAGTGATGTAAATAAATAAATAAATAAATAAAGATAATCTAATCTAAACTCCCACTGAAGGAATGTCTTCCAGCTTCCCAAACTATGTTCCTTTGTCCAAGAGTTCCTTGTACTGTATATTTTGATGGATAAGAGAGTCTTAGTAAAAGGTAAAGGTAGTCCCCTGACATTAAGTCCAGTCATGTCTGACTCTGGGGTGTGGTGCTCATCTCCATTTCTAAGCCGAAGAGCCAGTGTTGTCCGTAGACACCTCCAAGGTCATGTGGCCGGCATGACTGCATGGAGCGCCGTTACCTTCCCGCTGGAGCGGTACCTATTGATCTACTCACATTTGCATGTTTTTGAACTGCTAGGTTGGCAGAAGCTAGGGCTGACAGCGGAAGCTCACACCGCTCCCCAGAATCGAACCTGCGACCTTTCGATCAACAAGCTCAGCAGGTCAGTGCTTTAACCCACTGTGCCACTGGGGGCTCTTAAGTCTTAAGTTACGTAAATAGTCTTAAGTTAAGAGAGTCTTAAGTTACGTAAATTGCAGGTTGGTGAGCAGAAGAGGGAGGCTTTCACCATGACTCCATCCTTGTTTGAGCACTATTCAGTCCTTCATGTTCTTGTCACCTTTCTTACAACAGAGACCTCTGAACTGATCCCCCCCCCCCCCCCCCCGTCTTACAGCTCTTTTAATGAACACTCAAATATTTTTTTAGTGACTGTACATTGGAAATAGCAAGACAGAGGTTCTTGTTGATGTCACTTCAAACTCTGCCTTGTGTCCTCAACCGGCCTAGGGACGAAAACCATCCAGCACATGTCAAGCTTATAAATAATAATTGCCTTTAGAGCAACCAGTGGCGTAACAGAGAGCAATGGCAGCATGCGGCAGCATTCCAGGAGAGTCTTAACCTTTTAAAGTCCAGTCTCTTTGTAACGGGTTGGGTCTTGCAAACGTGAGGCGTCACTGCTCACCACAGGCGAGAAAAAGTCCAAATGTGGTCCTTGTGACGGGTGCTGGCCCGTGAGGCATGCCTTCGTCCTCTTTCAACACTTTCTTTTTGAGCGCACACAAACACATTCTCATTTTGATAAAACGGTGCACGGCGCTCCTCTTGTTTTGAAATTGAGACGCTGACATTGGATGCGAGGTGGGTTTAGTTTTGGACTCCCGAGGCGGAACTGGGAAGTCGTTTCCATCTGTGATTCTTTTTTAGGCAATGCTTAAATAGCTAGCTATACCGAGAGTTTGCACAGAAAGGATGTCAACAGATATTTTCAGAAGGGACAGGAATAGAGAACTGCAAGCTTTCTGGGAGAAAGAATAGCAATCTCCCCCTAACATACTATCTGATTTGCTGAGCAAGTGGCATTACTGGATCGTCTTCCACTTGGAAACATTGATGTGCCCAATTGCTAAATCAGGCATGGGCAAACTTCGGTCCCCCGGGAGAAAAGGAAGGGGCCTGAGGCTGTTTGGAGTGGTGGGAGTTGAAGTCCAAAACACCTGGAGGGAGGGCCCAAGTCGGCCCATGCACAGAGGTAATTTTCAATGGTTAAGCAAACAGTATTTTGGCGCCGCACCCTCAACCAATCATTGATATATATTTTCTGTTCGTCATGGGAGTTCTGTGTGCCATATTTGGTTTAATTCCATCATTGGTGGAGTTCAGAATGCTCTTTGATTTTAGGTGAACTATACATCGCATATGTCAAGGTCTATTTTCCCCCAAGAGTGCTTCAAGAGCACCCCTGGGCAAAATCAACTGTACTGCGAATGCTTACTTTGCGTAATGGGTTGAGCCGCCCCTGCCCATGCCTCTGTTCTCTTGGAACTGGACACTTCAGTCAATCAAGGGATCATCTGCATACCCACATTGTGGGAGCTGAAGTCCAAAACACCCGGAGGGCCAAAGTTTGCTCAGGCCTGTGCTAAATGCTAGATGGGACCCCCATTTCCTAGGAATAGTTTCTGACAAACTATAGGGCTGAATCCGAGCGTGCCCCCCCCCCAATAAGAGATAATAACTTATAGTTCTGCAAAGGGCCAATAATAAGTCTCAACCTCAACGCTGCAGGACTTCCTTGACTGGCTCAATGAAACCTTTTGGACCTTTTCTCGTGAATTTCATGTTTTTAATCATTCCCCATGAACCCTTTTGTTTCCCTTTCAAAAACATACTTTTATATGGAGTTTTCCTGTTATGAATTATAGGCACATGGATGCTGCTACATCAAATGTATATATTTTCATATTTTCCTTTGTACTAGTGGTCTTCCCTTGACCTTTTTTCCTTCCCTTTCCTTATGAAGAAATCCCCCCCCCCTCCAGAAACTGCAGAGCTCCAGACATTCCAAAGACCCCAATCCACAATTTCCTTTGCATGAAAAATAAACTGGCAGGCAGCTTTGTTCTCGGAGGATTGCCCAACAATGCTGTTTGCCCCCTGGCAGACCCCTAATCATTTTTCTACCTGGAGGTCAGGGGACCCTCGAAAAGCCCCCCACCTTCGCACTGGTTGATTTAACTAACTCCCCACTAAGGTACATTCACCCCAGTTTCGCCCTCATTGTCTTCATATTTGCTGGCTAGTAAAATCCGGACTTGTCTTTACACGTGTTGATTCATTCCAATCAAAACACAATAGATCAGGCTTGCTTGAGACTCCCTCTTTGTCTCGCAGGCCACATGGCATTTTTTTTAGAATTCATTCACAAGATTCCTTTGTGTTCTATCATCCCGCCTCCCTCTTTCCTGATTTGCTATCGCCGCTAGATGGCAGGAGCCTAACCATTGGACCCTAC